CCTCCTGCTCTCCAGGTGGCACTGCTGTAGCCTTAAGCCATTGGCTGGGGTCTTCCTGCTCCTGCTTACTGTCTGTCCACCACACTGTGGGCCAGCTGGGGGTTTTTCTTGTCTTCTCCCTCACAGCTCATTCTGTTTGCTGCCCTCACTGCTACCCACCAAGCCCCAATTAAAACTCCAGTTCCTTATGCTTCCCTTTCATCATAGTCATCCTGCTTATAATGATCACAGTCAGTCTTTTTTCCCATTAGCCAGTAAGCTCCTGGAGTCTAGGGACCACTCACCTGTCTGGTCCCATGCTCTCCCCTAGGGCTTTGGGGCACAGGCTCCTGAGAGCTAGCACCTACTCTACTTGAGCATGTGCTCCAGAGGCCAAGTCCCTAAGTTCAAATTCTGGTTTTACAGTTTGATGACCTGTGTGATGGTGAGAAGGTTATTCAGACTCTCAAGTTTAAGCTTTAGTGACCTCATTAACAAAAAAGGATAGTAGTACTGCCTTCTCAGTATCGTTGTGGAGATTAGATAAAGTGAACTAAGTGGAATGACTAATGTATAATAAATGCTCAATTAAAGTTAGCAGTTATAATTGTGGGAAGCTGAGAAAATAATCTATAACCTCCATCTGTGTATCTCCCCCATCCTCTGTTGTAGAGGTGGTGGGAAATATTGCATGAAATTCCAACACGATGGAGAGAATGGAGTTAAAGAGAATAGTTTTCAGTGTATATTGTGGCATTACAAAATGACAAAGCAGGGAGTTAAAATAGATATTCTGTTATTTCAAATTAAAACTAAATATCATTGTTTAGCTCATAAAGCAACATGTTTCACTTTCTAAGAGGCACCTACTATCTCATTTTATCTTTGCATTAAACTTCTTCTGGGAATTAACTATTTGTCTCTGTGGCTCAGATTCACTAGATACCTAATTGCAGATGTAGCCCCAATGGCTCTAACCACTATTCTGACTAAATTTCAATAAAACTAGTCCCTGTGTTATCTCACTGTAATGATATGATCTAAGCAAATAGCATTTTTGTCTTCAGGACACGTTGGTCACTATCATTCTGCATTGGTTGTAGATCATGGATTCGCAGGGCGCCCAGACATGGAAGAAGCATCAGGGGCTACTAGTTCAAACCCACTGTTTTTACAGGTGATGATTAGGAGGCTCAAAGAAGTTAAGCCACTTGTCTAAGACCACAGAGCTGATTACTGGTCATGGGGCCAGAAGACTCCTATCTCCTATTGGTTGCTCTAATATTTGTGAGAGCACAGGTGCTTTGACTTGTCCATAAGCACACTTCCCACTTTTCACTTTGCTTACAGGTTTTGATTTTTTAAAAACCCACATTTATGGAAAGGGCACTAGATTGGGGATCAACAAACCTGGCTTTTCTGATTCTATCCCTTACAAGCTTGGGGAATGACACTTATTCTCCAGTCTTCGCCTATAAAATGAGAGAAACAGGACACCTGCCCTACCACATGTGCAGGGTTGCTATATGCTCATATGAGCTAATGGAGGAGAAAGTACTTTGAAAGAAAGACTAAATGGACACTTATAAGAGCAAAGTTTTGGGGTCAAAACATTCTGGTCATGAGCCATATAACATTTATGTACCCTTGCAGTTCATAAGTGGGAATAAACCTTATAATATTACTAAATCTGGAGATTTAATGAAATGGCATATGAAGTACCTGACACAAGGTAGACTCTCAAGAAATGGTAGCTATTATCAAATCATTAAGATACCTGACAAAAACAATGCATCATTATCTGCTTTGAATTTAAAGTGCTGTGACCAATTCCTGTTCAATGCTGGCCCCATGGTAATAGATTTCACTATCTGATTTTTGTATATCTTCCACACTGAGAACAGAATTACAGTCAACACTAGAAATGCATGATGCATTTATGTTGTGCTGAATTGAGTAAATTCAAAGTGTGTTTATACTTATAAAATGGCTTGTTAGAAACCTTACCTGTAGAATTTATGAAGGAAAAAAATGGCTATTTTGAGAATCAGTTCTGAACTTACTCAGGTTGTTTTCAAAACAATGAATGGTTCCATTTATTCCAGTTAAAAATCTAGAAAACAGTGTGTATGGGGAAATAAGGTCCAAATCACAGAGTAGGAAGGCTTTGCATCTTCAAATGGCACTGGGCCAAGTCATCGTCTTCACATACAGTGTGTGCTTGTGTGCAAAGGCCAAGAGCCATCAGGAGGTAACCAAAAAGGCCTGGATAGCAAGAGTGCACCAGGCCCAGGCCTGTTAGGAGAATGGAAACTCCATGTGTAGACACTTCCCTACACAGAAAAGCAGGAAGGGCACCCTTATGGCTCTTTTAACTTACACCACTTTTACTTCTCCATTTAAGGGGAAGAAGAAGGATTGAAAAATTAAGCTGATGCATAGTCATAAAGTCCTCATTAGAAAGTAAAACCACAGGGTGGGACTGATCAAAATAAATTATATTGTCATAAAGCAATTAAGAGAAAATCAAGCAATCATAAGGTGATAAAAGCTTATTAGTTAAAGTGCCTGGAAAACACAGCGGGTTATAAAAAATTAAATTCTCACACATGGAAAAAAATGCAAATATATGCAATTGTCTCTCTGTGGCAAAGAGTCAGGTTACTGATGTGTGTGAAGAGTTAAAATAAAAGCCTTGAAAAATGTGAGGTGCAATTTTATTTCTCATCTGTGCTTAGATTTGAGGATTTCTGTCTTATAAATTCTTTTCTTTCCTTCACAATATGTCTTATAAAATACCTTTGTTCTCTGAAAATAAGATATATCCTTTAAAATGAAATGTAAGAGCATGTAATGAATTTCACGTAAGTTTCTACTCTTCAACTCATTGAGACCATCCTGGAATTATAGTCTTGAGATGTCAAAACAATCTAATTCTAATGCTGTTGCTAGAAATGAAGAAAATGAGGCACCAAGAGGTTAAATCCAAATTTCCACTTAGCTGGTAAGTTAGTTAATGGGAGCAGGTCTGATTCTAGGGACTAGCTCACCTCTCTTTTCCCAGAACAGAGCTCTTTCACTAAGCTACTTTGCTTTTCTGCTGTGATGGTAGCACTTGAAACATTTGTCTGTATTAGAAGTTAGCAATTTTTTTTTCTGTACGGGGACAGATAGTAAATATTTTTGGTTTTGCAGGCCATATGGTCTTTTTTGCAACTACACAACTCTGAGGGTATAGTGCAAAAGCAGCCACAGAAAATACTTAAACGAGTAAGCATGCATGTACTCCAATGACCTTATTTACAAAAACAGGCCAAGGGCCAGATTTGGCCTGAAGGTGGTACTTTGCCTACAGGTGGTAATTTGCCCTGGCATGTATTATTCTTTCAATAATCATTAAGGAGGCCTTAAGGGAATTTGCCCTGGCATGTATCATTCTTTCAATAATCATTAAGGAGGCCTTAAAAGAACCTAAAAAACATTTCTGGAGGTTATAAGGATGTTTCTAATGGGAAGATTGACCAGTTCCTGGTTAGGTGCGTATTCTAAGCACTATTCTCAGTTCTCTGAGGCCGTCCTCAACGAGCCCAGCCCTTGGTACTATAAGTGGCAGAAGCTCCAGTCTTGGATTAATTTTACCCCTTTTTTTCTGTTTCAATAGCAGGTGATCACACAGCATAGACTGGTGTCAGTACACAATGACCTGGTAGGTGTCCCAGGAGAGGGCTTTCTCTTTGTTCACAAAGGCTGATTTGAGCTTAAGGCAGGGATCTAACTACTTTTCTACAACTGCATTAACAATTGTGCTAACACTTCCAAGTAATCTGTCTTTTGGCACTGATTAGAAATGCCACATTTATCACTATGAACTTTCCATATGAACATGAATCTGGATTTCCACTTCTGTTTTATTAGTCTATTCATCCATTTCTTGATGAATCTTTGCAATACTGTATCTTCTCCACCAGGGAAGTCTTCATCCAGATTTTCTTTTATGTTTTTTAATAAGAATGTATAGTTTGCTTTATATTTCTTGTACATTTTCATGTTGGTTTTTACATAAGCTGCATTTCACTGATTTCTAAATTAGCTAACAGGAATACAGTGGCTGAAGCCCATGTAGCGAAAGCATGAAGGACTGAGCTTTAAGCAGTTGCCAGCAGAGAGCCTGGGAGTGCTTTATCATTTCTAAAACCTCTTTGGTACTGGAAGTGACAGACTGGAGTGCACCAAAACAAGAAGATAGAGTGGACAGAGCCAGGAAGAAGACAGAAAGCCAGGCAATTTTATAAAGGACCTGAACCCATTCCAGGAGCAAGATGGCCTTGCCGGGTTGGTGAAAGGTCTCTTCACCTTGCTCATGAGGAGGGATTGGAAGATCCCCCAAGGGCAAGGACTGCAGGGACTCTGGAACATGCAGCACCTTCCTAGCAAGTTGCACAAGCTTTTAGGTTTTAGTTGGATGATACAGATTAGTCTGCATTTACCTTATTCTTCCTTCCAGATTTCTGCTTCCCCCATTCTGTCTGATTGGCCCCAGTTCTTGTCTTTTGCCTATATTGATTCAGCCCAGCCTGCCTTATTTTCATTACTTGCTTCTCATTCTTGCATTCACTTCTGTACATGTGTTTATTTAACCTGATTTATTTGGCATCACCTGCATTCACTACCTGATTCTAGTCTACTGACTTTTTACTTTGCTCTTAGAATGATCTCCATTTGGGCCATTTTTGTCTTCTGTTCTTCCATTCCTGGGCATCTCCCTGCTGCTCTGGCAACCACATATTTCCCAGGAACATCAGTACCTCAGAGCCTGTGGGCCTTTTGGGTGAGACTCCAAGCTAACCCAATGCCTCTATCTTCCCCACAACTCATTATTGTTCTAGTTTGTACTGGTAGTTTGAATTATTCCTGTGTGTGTGTGTATGTGTGTTTCTGCACTAACTATTTACTGAGAGATATCAAATGCATTCCATAGAGTAGGATCACTTCTCACTAATTCTCTTGTTTATTTTATAAAGTCCTGTGTTAAATGAAATGCTACAGGTATTGTTGAAGAGGCTTATCTAAACCAGATGGAGCCAATCAACCCAGGGAGACGCTGTCCTGGTGAGTATACTGGGCGGTGCCCCTTAGACTAAGGTGGACGCTGCCTTGATTGGGTTATTGTTGTAGGTTTTGCCACTCCAGTGGCATATTATTTGATGTTTGTTCTCATGTGTAAACATTCCTATTGTACAAACTGAGATACATCTATACTAGCAGTCTCAACCATGGTCTTAGGATTATTTTGGCAAGTTTAAAAAGATATAGATGCCCAGGCCCTACTCCAGACCAAATGAAACAACCAACTCAGAATTTCTTTGGGTGGGGCCCAAGCATTGGTATTATTAAAATTTTCCAGATGATTCTAACATGCATCCAAAGTTGAAAACTACTGGTTTAGCAGAACTTTTGGCAGCACCAGCTGTTCTGCTGCCCCCCCTGTTGTCACCAGATCTCTCTCTTAAATGTACAGAAAACTTATAGGAGCCTCATCTATGATTTAGGTCATTCTATCTACCTTAGAATCAAACCATGGATTTCTTTTTGTACTGTCTCTGTTGTGCTAATCCCAGAAAGTGATGTATCAGAGAGAATTATTTATAATTTTTAAAAGGGTCACAGCAATGCCCAAACCCCATGGGTTTGTCTCCATAGGGAAATGGCTGTGGTATCTTTGAAGAATCTGATAGGAATTTCAACAGAGTGAAAAGTTCATTGAATATTAGTAGAATGCAAGCAAGTGCACAGTAGGATACTATTGTTGAAACAACTTTATTTCAGTCAGTCTTTCCAGGACATGCTATAACTAGTCTAACCAGAAAATTAATTTATTAATGACAGGTTGCAGGTAGGAGGACTGCCCAAACCCTGCCATGTGATTGCTTCTATGAAGTGCTGCCAGTGCCATTGGAGGTCCAGACAGGGCAATTCACCATGAGGATCTGGGGCCAGACCCCTGGAAGTCTTTGTGCAAGATTATGCCCAGTTCTGGGAAACAGTAATTTTTTCAGTACTGGGGAAGTAAGACAGATAGGGCAAATTCCTAAAACATAGGAAGGCTGTTAAAAGATCTGGAGGGGCCTCAAAGAATGACGCTCTGTGCTCTTTCATTTTCCTTAGCAGGGGTACCCTAGTATGCAATCACTCCTAATAAAAACTCCTTGGAAAACTCCTGATCTGTATCCCTCATCTGTATTTCTATGTGAATCTAAAACTGGCATTCTCTCTCCCTGGATTATGTGTACTTTGTCTCATCTCTAATGATAAAATGGAAGAAAGGCTTTGTACTCCGCTAAAGACGTGCATGTTATCAGTGGTATTGGTGGGAAGACAGTTGTAAATGATGTGTAAAGAGGACGAGAAGAATCTCCCTTTTAAGTCTATCCAAAAAAGTCAACTCCAGAAGAGTTCTCTGTCACTCCGTGATCTTTCATTAACACAGAAGTAGCCCCTCAAGTCCAGAGTTGGACTTCACAGTTAAGAAAGTTTACTATCTACTTGATACAAATTTTGAAACTGCTGCATTAAACTACTAATAGAAAATTAGAGTTATGGGGAAAGGGTGGTAAAAAAATGCTGAGAACATGCTTAAAATTTTTTTTAAGTACAATGGATTTTATGGAGAAGATGGTACTCTTTCCATCAGGGAGAGGGTGTAAAAGGAATTTTTAAATTATAGAATAACAGGAGGGGTTTTATTTAGACCAAAGGAACAGTTCCCCAAAGTGTTACCTTTAGGGAACTCAGTGATTCCCCTGGCCCTTCGGTAGAGGCAGTTCTCATCTAACACAGATGGCTTCCAGGATTTGCCTAGAGGCAATATAATGACCCAGATAATCTCTTCAAGTCTCTTCCAGGTTTTGATGCTGTTAAAGAGCTTTTTCCTGGTCCTCCAGTGGACACCAAATTGGTGTCTTCAAGCACACTAGCAAAATTTGTACAGTCAAATGAAGCCTCTGGGTAGTTAGTGGAATAAGTAAGTAGATACACATCTGAGAATCTGCCTGCCCAGTGATCAAGCCTCACTCTCTCCTCATAGTACAAGCAGTTTGCATTCATCTGGTCCCCTGTCCTCTTATACAGTGTGGCCCTTTGCTTCTTGAAAAGAAAAAAAAAGTCTGAAACACAGACTTCAAAGACAAAAGGAATTCTATTTTAGCATTTTTATTTCATTACACTGGGACCAGTCATGAAAGGTCATCAGTAAAGAACAAATAAGATAAGCATTGGTCTGGACATCTTCCAAAAAGGCTGAGAAAGGAGTGACTTCCGAGCAAAGCACAACATAATTAAATGTGTGCTGGCTGCTGATGGTACATATTCAGTTCTGTTAGCACACAGGAGGGAGCAGTTTTCTATTACAAGCATTTGTTTGGTATTGGTCCAGTTCACCAAGGGAGAAAAATTGCATGTTGGAACATTTACTTTGTTTTACAGCTATGTAATGATGTTACCAGTTCTTGCACTTGCAGATTCCATTCTGTTTCTTGCTGTTGGAAGCCTGTTGTAGTTGCTAAAGGATGGTCAAAGTGTAAAAACGGGACCTAACATTTCAAAAAATACATTTGTTTCTACTAAAATTATTGAAAAATGAATGGAAACAAAATTATATTGGTATTAACATCTAGCATTTATCTATCTACTAGGTGTTGGCAGCCGCGCTCAGAAAATAGCGCCCAATGCAGGGCAGCCGGAAGGCCCCGAACTTCCTAATGACAAATCATCCCACACCACTAAACTACATGCTAATTGCGCCTTGGCATAAGGACCAATGAGACCCACCAAATGGTTATGCTAATAAGGCATATGGAGCCGCACCAACCAGGTCAGAGCATGAGAACTATATAAGCAAGCCTCTCCTTCCCCTCTGGGTCCTGCCCAACTCATTTGTTTCACAAAGAGCTGAAGAATAAAGCTTTCTGCAGAAGAATCCTGCTGTTGTTGCATGCTGTTCTTGCCGGCGAGGACAGGGCACGCGACAAGTGGTGCCGAAACCCGGGAACCAGAACATCACCGGCACAGGGAGGACCCTTCAGACATCTGGAGAGGATTCAGAACTGCAGGTCAGAAGAAAGCCCGGAGGGGTAAGTTCCGAGAGGCCCCTGCTTTTTAGGATGATGGTTGATGGTTCTCTGTAAATAAGGAGGCACCATGGGGAATGCACCGTCATTAGTCACGGCGCTGCAGACAGCTCTCAAAGAGCGAAACTTGAAGGTCTCCAGCAAAGTCTTAGGATCTTTTGTGAAGGAGATAGACCGTGTGGCCCCCTGGTTCATTTGTTCAGGGTCCCTCTCAATCCCGAGCTGGGACAAACTGGGGAAAGATCTTGATAGAGAGGAGGAGGAGGGTAGCCTGAGGGGAGGCACCAGGCCCCTCTGGAAACTGATTAGAGCTTGTCTGCAAGATGAGAGATGTGAAAAGGTAATAAAAGAAGGTCAGAGAGCATTGACAGATATCCAAGAGAGCATGTCAGAAACGGAACGGGAAACAGAGAGCGCGCGCGGCCGAAAAAAGGCCACAAAAACGAAGGTAAAGAAACCTCAGAGTGAGGGAGAAAGCCCGCCTAGGGCAAAAGCGAAAGAGCCCCGAGAAGCGAGTGACGATCGCCTCGGAGAAAATAGTAAATACCCCTGGAAAGAGTTGAGGGACCTCCAACTCTCCAATAGGGAATCTGAGGAGGAATTAACGTCCGCAGAGGAAGGGGAAGAAAATAAAACCGCAGAGTGTAGAAGTAAGGGAACCAGCAAAGTTGAAAAGCGGACCAAGGAAAAAATGAAAGCAGGGTGTCCCCCGACGCCCGTTGCCCCGCCACCTTACGTGAGTGGCGCACTCTCCTTTTGCCACCCAGATACTCTTCAGGCAATTAGACAAATGTTTCCTGTATTTGAGGATAACGGTGTACGCTCTCACCAGCCCCTGAGCCATAAACAAGTTAAGGAGTTAGCAGAATCCGTTCGGGCTTATGGAGTCAGTGCTAACTATACCATAGCACAAGTTGAGAGATTAACAGAGACAGCCATGACACCCGCAGACTGGCAATATGTAACTAAGGCATGCCTTTCTAGTATGGGGCAATACATAGAATGGAAGGCATTGTGGCATGATATCAGCATGACCCAGGCACGCGCAAACGCGGCCGAAGGACAGCCTGCGTGGTCATATGATATGCTGACGGGCCAAGGACAGTGGGTAGCCAACCAGACCGCCTTCCCCTTACAGGTATACGCACAAATAAACACGTGCGCCGCCAAGGCATGGAAAGCCCTCACCAACAAAGGAGAAGTATCAGGCAATTTGACAAAAATTATTCAGGGGCTGAGCGAGCCATTTTCTGACTTTGTCGCTCGTATGATGGAGGCCGCAGGCAGAATATTTGGAGATCAGGAACAAGCAATGCCCCTAGTGGAGCAATTAGTATTTGAACAATGTACCAAGGAATGCAGACAGGCGATAACACCCTGGAAACAAAAAGGGATACATGCCTGGTTGAAAGCCTGTAGAGAAATAGGAGGGCCACTCACCAATGCGGGCCTAGCCGCGGCCATATTACAGAGCCACAAACAAGCCAGGATCACTAACAGAAGTATCAAATGCTTTCAATGCGGGAAATTAGGACATATAAAGAGAGAGTGTAGGAGCCCAGCTTCAGAACAAACAACCCAAAAGACCCCTGGGTTGTGCCCTAAGTGTAAGAAAGGCAGGCATTGGGCCAATGAGTGCCGGTCTATTAAAGATATAGAAGGGAAACCCTTAGAACTGCCAAAAAACGCCCAGAGGGGCCCCTGTCACCAGGGCCCGCAAATATATGGGGCAACCAGCACGCAAGTGTCATTCGGGAACAACCAGGCCCCCCAAGGAGAGCCACTTCAGGTTCCGCGGGATTGGACATCCGTGCCACCACCAGAATAGTGTTGACTCCACAGATGGGAGTTCAGCCTATCCCTTCAGACTTTAAAGGCCCCCTACCACCAAATACCATTGGGTTACTCCTAGGGCGCTCTTCTGCTGCATTGAAAGGCCTGGTAGTTCATCCCGGAGTCATAGATCAAGATTATGAAGGACAGGTAAAAATCATGTGTTCGGCTCCCAGAGGAATCTATCCTATATCCCCGGGAGACCGCATAGCCCAGCTCTTAGTTTTACCTAGTCTCCACGCCAATTATCCTGCTACCAACACGGAGAGGGGAGAAAGGGGCTTCGGCTCCTCTGACTGGGATTCAGCCTTCATAGTATTAGATTTAGCAGACAGACCAAAATTAACTCTTCAAATAGAGGGAAAGAGCTTTGAGGGAATCCTAGACACTGGAGCAGATAAAAGTATTATCTCTGCAACCTGGTGGCCCTCCAAGTGGCCTGTGACCCAATCCTCACATTCATTACAAGGTTTAGGATATGAGTCAAGCCCTTCAATTAGTGCCAAACCATTGAAATGGCGAGCCCCTGAAGGACAAGAGGGTACAGTCACCCCTTATGTACTCCCTCTACCGGTCAATTTATGGGGGAGGGATGTCATGAGAGACTTAGGCCTCAAACTCATTAATGAATACTCCACCCCCGCCCAAGGCATGATGATGGACATGGGATACATCCCTGGCAAGGGGCTGGGGAAACACCAACAGGGACACATAGAGCCCATCCTGCCCAAAGTAAAGAATGACCGTCACGGCCTGGGTTTTTCATAGGGGCCATTGAAGATGCCATGCCCATACCTTGGCTCACAGAGGAGGCCGTATGGGTTCCTCAGTGGCCCCTATCCTCTGAAAAATTAGAAGCAGCTCATTGCTTAGTGCAAGAGCAGCTCCAAGTGGGACACCTAGAACCCTCTGTGTCCCCATGGAACACACCCATATTTGTAATCAGGAAAAAGTCAGGATCATGGAGGTTGCTTCATGATCTGAGAGCAGTAAATGCTCAAATGAGAATGCTTGGACCCGTACAACGGGGACTGCCACTCCTCTCTGCCTTACCCAAAGAATGGAAAGTGCTCATAATAGATATTAAAGATTGTTTCTTTTCTATACCTCTAAGCTCCAAGGACAGGGAAAGATTTGCTTTTACTTTGCCAGCTATTAACCATGAACAACCCGATGCCAGATTTCAGTGGAAGGTCCTCCCTCAAGGAATGGCAAATAGCCCCACCATATGTCAACTGTACGTTCAGCGAGCGCTAGACCCAATTCGTAAGACCTATCCCACGCTAAAGATCATCCATTACATGGATGACATCCTTCTTTGCTCCCCACAACCAGCGGAAATAGAAGAAGCATATATAGATCTCACTAGATCCCTAGAAAATTGGAGACTGAATATAGCAAGCGAGAAGGTCCAAAAATCTAGTGTTAGCAAATTCCTAGGAGCAACCATTTACACAGATGTAATTTGCCCCCAAAAGCTTGAGATAAGACATAATCAATTGCGAAATTTGAATGACTTCCAAAAACTCCTAGGGGATATTAATTGGTTGCGCCCATACTTAAAGATACCCACCACTGAATTGACTCCACTATTTAAAACCCTAGAAGGAGACCCACAACTAACGTCACCGCGCTCCCTCACACCTGAGGCATTACAAGCCATTCGCAAAGTAGAACAGGCTTTGATGACAGCACAATTAAATAGAGTGCAATCGAATGAACCCTTTGAGTTGTGTGTGCTTCCCACCCCGGAGCTGCCAACAGCAGTTTTATGGCAGCACGGCCCACTGATCTGGATCCATCCCCAAGCCTCTCAGGCTAGGACAATAGAGTACTATCCGGCAGCCGTGGCCAAACTTGCTTTGAGAGGAGTAAAAACCTCCATGACACATTTCGGAGAGGCTCCAGCTAAAATTATAACCCCTTACAGCGTAGAACAGATACAAGTATTATGTGCTATGAACGATGATTGGGCCATACTTGCTTACAGTTTCTCAGGAACCTTTGATAATCATTTCCCTAAACATCCCCTCATCAACTTCGCCAAAAATCATCTCCTAGTATTTCCTCGGGTCACTAGCCTAACCCCGCTGCCTCATGGAAAAACAGTTTACACGGACGGGTCTAAGACAGGCACAGGTGCCTATGTCCATGATGGCAAAGTTGTGACAAAAGGCTACACGCCTGACACTCCACAAATAGTGGAATGTCGCATAGTCTTAGAGGTCCTACAAATCTTTCCTGAACCTTTAAATATTGTGTCTGACTCCTGTTATGTAGTTAATGCAGTCAAATCTCTAGAAGTGGCCGGGCTAATCAAAGCGTCCAGCCCAGTAGCCACTTTGTTCAAACAGATACAATCAGCACTACTTCATAGGCAATCTCCTTTGTATATAACTCATATCAGAGCACATTCAGGCCTTCCCGGGCCTATGACCCAAGGCAACCACCTGGCAGACCTCGCAACCAGAAATATAGCTTTTCCCCTGCTAGACCCTATCACCACAGCTTCAAAATTCCATACACAATTTCATGTCACTGCCGAAACACTGCGCAAGCGGTTTAGCATAACCAGGGCCGAAGCTAGGAACATTGTCCTTAGCTGCCAACATTGCTGCAGCTTCCTTCCCACACCTCATGTTGGGATCAACCCCAGAGGTATTAGGCCTTTACAAGTTTGGCAAATGGATGTGACGCATATTTCGTCTTTTGGGAAACTGAAATATGTACATGTATCCGTGGATACTTGTTCAGGAGTCATCTTTGCCTCCCCATTGTCAGGAGAGAA